TTCTGGTTTTTCATGCCAAGAATCTTAGAATCATTTTAGATCCTTTCTTTGTATCCCATGTTCAGCTGACAGCAAGTCCTGGTGGCTCTGATTTCAAAAAATCCCCACCGGGCTGGAGTGCAGCTGAGTGGTACAGTGCATGCTCAGGATGTACAAGGCCCTCGGGTCAGTCTGTCACCAGCACTGCCAGAAACCGAACAGTAAACCAATGAAGCATCCAAACCGTCTCCATCACCAGGTGCCCACCACCTGGCGCGTCCTCCCACGACTGCTGCCATTTGATTCAATCCCCGGCATCGCTCGCTTCATTCCAACTGTTCTCATACCCCCCCCTGCTTTGTTCTTTCCACGACAGTAGACTGCTCTTGTAAAATATGGAGGTCATGTTTAATCGGTCCTCAGTTCAGAATACCTCAGTGGTTCCCCTTGTCTTAGAGGGACTTACGGACCCTCCAGGTTGTGCTCCCCAACTCCACTTTCACCTGTCTCCCAGTACTCCCCCTCCCCCTTGTTTATTCTGACCAGCTCATGGGCTTCCTTGCAGTTTGTGGGACACACCTGGCGCTCTGCTGTCAAGTGGGGCCTTAATGGTCTGCGGGGGCTCATTCCCTGACGTGAGTGCAGCTCGTTTCCTCCTCTGTGAGTCCTTGCAAACCATCCTCTTCAAAACTTCATTCCCCTAGAACTGAGCGACCAAAGAGCCAAGCCTTTATGGATTTGTTTGTTTACTTATTTGAGACTTAGTCTTATTAGATAGCCCAGGGTAGCCTCCAACTCTGGGCATGCCTCCTGTCTTAGCCACTGGAGTGCTAGTACTACAGGCATGCATTACCATGCCTGGCTAGCCTTTATGTTTTTTTTTTTTTTTTTTTTTTTTTGGTTTTTCGAGACAGGGTTTCTCTGTGTAGCTTTGCGCCTTTCCTGGTACTCGCTTTGGAGACCAGGCTGGCCTCGAACTCACAGAGATCCGCCTGGCTCTGCCTCCCGAGTGCTGGGATTAAAGGCGTGCGCCACCACCGCCCGGCCGCCTTTATGTTTTGATGGATATTGCAGATTCTTTCTGCTAACAATGTGCGAGTTTGTAGCTAGAGTTTTCCTGCCTGGCCCACAGTGAGGACAAATCTCTCTCACCCGCCAGTCCCACAGCTGCTCAGACCTGACCAAGTAAACACAGAGACTTATATTGCTTACAAACTGTATGGCCGTACCAGGCTTCTTGCTAACTGTTCTTATATCTTAAATTAATCCATTTCTATAAATCTATACCTTGCCACGTGGCTCGTGGCTTACCGCCATCTTCACATGCTGTTTGTCATCGTGGCGGCTGGCAGTGTCTCTAACTCAGCCTTCCACTTCCCAGCTTTATTCTCCTCCTTGTCCCGCCTATACTTCCTGCCTAGCCAATGGCCAATCAGTGTTTTATTTACTAACCAATCAGAGCAACACATTTGCCATACAGAACATCCCACAGCATGAGCATGTCAGTTTTCCCACAGCACGGTCAACTGCGGCTATTAACTTTTTGGTTTAGGTAGGGTTTTTGCTGGTTTGAGTTTTTAGACAAGGTCTCACCATGTAGCCCAAGCTGCCCTGGAACTTGCTAGGTAGATCATAGCATATTGGCCTTGAACGTGTGGTCATCTTCCTGCCTCTGCCTCCTGTGCCCTGGGATTACAGATCTGTAGCCCATACCTGGCTGACACTGAGGCTATTAACTGATTTCGACAGAGTGTAGTTTTAGTTTTCATTTCTTGTTTTGTTTTGTTGTTGTTGTTTTGTTTTTCGAGACAGGGTTTCTCTGTGTAGCTTTGCACCTTTCCTGGAACTCACTCTGTAGCCCAGGCTGGCCTGGAACTCACAGAGATCCACCTGGATCTGCCTCCCGAGTGCTGGGATTAAAGGCATGCACCACCAACTGCTTCATTTCTTATAAGCAAGTGTTGGCATCAGTTTAACTGCCGCTTGTAAAAGCCCCTTTGATTTCCCTGCCTTCATCACTGGGCTACGGGTTTCTCTTGCCTACAGAGGCTCTTTGCACTTCCGAAAGGGAGCATTTGGTCTGGGACAAGAGTTGAGCTGGATGTTTTCCAGTCTGTCATTTTTTGTCTTGCTTTATTGATGGTGGGCATTTGTTCTTGCGTTGCATTTATTTATTGTGTATGTGTATGTTTGTGGGTGTGTCACAACAGCAGGAAAGTGGAGGTGCTCACCCTCCAGCTGTGGGTGTCTGGGGTCCAACACAGATTGCCAGTTGGTGAAAAGTGCTTTTGCCTACCAAGTGATCTCTTCAGCCCTGATGGTGTGCTACTCACACAATTTTTTTTTAATGTGAAAATCCTTTTTGTTAATACTTTATGTTGTAGGTTCTGCATATTCAATTACACTTTTAAAAGGCCTCTCCTAGTCTCTCTCTCTCTCTCTCTCTCTCTCTCTCTCTCTCTCTCTCTCTCTCTCTCTCTCTCTCTCTCTCACACACACACACACACACACACACACATACATACACTATGTACTTTTAATTTTAATCAAACTTTTAAAAACCTTTCCTGCACGTTGTCCATCTGGAACACATTTTGGTGTAGATGTGGCATATACTTCCACCTTTCATGTGACATGGCTGCTCCTTTCCTGGATGCTCTATTTTCTCCACAACTGTGAAGTCCCACCTAGGAGACTCTTAGGGAGACTTTAATGGCTGTGTTCAAGTTGAGCTAATATTTTTTTCTTTGTGAACTCTGTGGCAGAAACCTCAGGTATGTTAATGAGAACTACAGATAAATCAAACCCGTAGCGTGCTAAAGGCCAACACCCCATAATGTGTGTATAATGTCTCTAAATTGCAGCTGGACACAACATGAGCACATGATTCTTGTATAATTAGTTCATTCACCCCACACACATCCGCTCCAGTCATGTCAAAGGGTGCCTTGCCAGGGACTAGTAAATGGTTCTGGTTATTTGTCTTTCAAACTGACTCCACCTAGTATATATTTACCTATCTTTGTGCAGCTAGCTGTGAAACTGAGCTTCTGGGTGTGAATGATAGGGACTCAGCTTTGGGGCTAGGAATGACATTTCAAAGTTGGTGGTGCCATGGGACTAAAGGCAGTTTACTTAACATCATCTTGCTAAAACAGTTTCCCTTTAAACTAGGACACACATCTATCACTCAATGACAGTTCTCTTGATAATGATGGCAGGAAGTTACTGAAAACTTCTGAACTTTAATAATTTTTTTCTTTTTTCTTTCTTTCTTTTTTTTTTTTTTTTTTAAGAAATTATCTCATTTTGTAGCTAAAGCTGGCCTGGCACTCACTATATAGCCCAGGCTGACCTTGGACTTAGGACAGTCCTCTTGTCTTAGCCTCTTGGGTGCTGATATTATAGGTATGCTCCACTATGTATGGCTCAACTATTTGAAATAAGTCTTGAATCGTCAAAAATAATTTTATAATATAGGTACAGTCTAGCTGTTCTATCTTAATGACTTGGAGCAAGTCACTTAACTTCTATAAGCCTTAGTTTTCTCATATGCAAAACAATAATAGTATTACTGTTATGGGCATTGGGAAGAAATGCATTTAAAGCAGAGGTGTTAAGGGATTTTTCAAATCTGATTCACAAGGACCAAAACCTGGGGGCCAAAAAGAGAAAAAAGAAAAGATGAAAAGCCAGGCATGGCAGTACACATGCAATGCTAGCCCTTGAAGGGTGAAAGCCAGAGGTTCAGGCGTTCAAGGCCAACCTTAGTTAGCTACAAAGCAAGTTCAGTTAGCCCTAGGCTACCTGAGACCCTGTTTCAAAAAGCAGGCAGACAGACAGACAAATTTAAAAATCCATTGTTAGGGATAGTTTGGTAGGGGCAGCTCTTTGTATGAAATAGGTCTCTCTACATTGCATGGGAAATCTAAGCTAATAAAACCATCACATAAAATAGCTTGACAATAGCTACCAAAATTCAAAATGTACATACATGCTTATTGACCACCAATTCCTTCAGACAAAAAGTACTGAGAAACGGCTCAGTGGTTAAGAACGTGAACTGCCCTCGCTAAGGGCCTGGGTTCAATTTCCAGCATCCATGTCAGAGGACTCATAATCTCCTGTGACTCCAGCTCTAGGAACTCTTGTATCCTCTTCTGACTCCACTGATATCTACATCCACTGGTACCTGCATTCACATGTGCGCACGCATGCGTGCGCGCGCGCACACACACACACACACACACACACACAATTGTAAAAAGTAAGTGCTTAGAGATCTATATGTGGACATAGTAGGAAAAGCATGGAAATGCAGACCTCCATCTATAAGGGGGCTGTTTTGAAGGACTCAACAATCAAACACATTGCTTAAGAAAGAATGAAGAACCAGGCAAGGTGGCACATGCCTTTAATCCTGCACTTGGGAGGCAGAGGCAGGCGGATCTCTGTGAGTTCAATACCAGCCTGGTCTACAGAGTGAGTTTCAGGCCAGCCAGGGATGTGAAGTGAGAACCTGGTGTGTGTGTGTGTGTGTGTGTGTGTGTGTGTGTGTGTGTGTGTGTGTAAAGGGGGAATGGAGTATTAATTACCAAGAATATTAAAGAAGAAAAGTGCAGTACAGAGTAAAATGTGTGAGGTGGGTGATACTTTCTATTTCTCAGTGCTGCAGATTGAGCAGCAAGCCTTTTGGTGTTAGGCAAGCATTCTATCACAGGAGCAGCCCTATGCATGTGCATTTTTGTACAATCCCATAACTCAAAACAACAACAACAACAACAAAAACTATTTATTTTCTCCAAATCTAGAATTTGGTAGCTGAGTGACTGGAAAACTTTTCACTATTTGTATATATATTTTTTCATCCTTTGATTTTACTTTGTGAATGTAACTAACTGTACGTGTGTGTGCATGCACATGCATATTAGGTAGGTATGTATTTGTAAACTTGGGTGTTGTTCCTCGGGCCATCCATCAGCTTTTTTTTTTTTCATTCTTTTTTTTTCTTTCTCTTTCAGGCAAGGTCTCTTCTTCAGGGAAACAACAAATGGCAGCTGGTGAGTGTGCAGCAGGAGGGCTTGGAGGATGGGGTGGGGTGGGGATGGGTGGGCTTAGGAGGCCACTGGGCTTGTGGAGGTAAAGCCAAAGACAAGAAGTAGAGCTGGGCTGCCTGGTCAAGGACACGAAGAACAAGTACCTGGAGGGATCTGCCTGTTCTCCCTGCCCAGCAAAGAACCTGAGATTATTGACTTCTTCCTGGGAGCATCCTGAAAAGATGAGGTTCTAAAGATCCTGCCAGTGCAGAAGCAGACTCAGGCTGGCCAGCGGACCGGGTTCAAGGCTTTTGTGGCTATTGGGGACTACAATGGTCATGTTGGTCTTGGTGTTAAGTGCTCCAAGGAGGTAGCCACTGTCATCCAAGGGGCCAGCACCTTGGCCAAGGTTTCCATTGCCCCTGTGCGGAGAGGCTACTGGGGGAACAAGTTTGGCAAACCCCACACTGTTGCGTGCAAGGTGATAGGCTGCCATGGCTCTGTGCTGGTGTGCCTCATCCCTACCCCTAGAGACCCTGGCATCATCTCTGCTCCTGGTTTCAATGAAGCTGCTGCTGGTCAGTATCGATGACTGCTACACATCAGCCAGGGGCTGCACTGCCACCCTGGGCAACTTTGCCAAGGACACCTTTGATGCCATCTCCAAGACCCACAGCTACTCAACCCCAACCTCTGGAAAGAGACTGTGTTCACCAAGTCTCCTTATCAGGAATTCACTGACCATCTTGTGAAAACCCACACCCGAGTTTCTGTTTGGAGGACTCAGGCTCCAGCTGTGACCACCACACAAGGGTTTTTGTACAAGAAAAATAAAGTGAATTAAGTCTCTCTCTCTCTCTCTCTCTCTCTCTCTCTCTCTCTCTCTCTCTCTCTCTCTCTCTCTCTCTCTCAACCCCCCCCCAAACAAAACAAAACAAAACAAAACAAAAAAACACTACTGAGCTGGACTCTTAAAATAATCTGGACCCACCTACCTGTTTCTGACTCTCTAGAGCTAAGAGTACCAGTGAGTGTGTCCATGGCAGGCTTCTTTTAAACAGGTTCTGGGGATTGAACCCAGGTCCTTGTGCTTGCAAGTCAAGCGCTTTACCAACCAAACTTTTTTTTTTTTTTTTTTTTTAAGATTTATTTATTATGTATACAGTGTTCTGCCTGCACACATTCCTGCAGGCCAGAAGAGGGCACCAGATCTCATTACAGATGGTTGTGAGCCACCATGTGGTTGCTGGGAATTGAACTCAGGACCTTTGGAAGAGCAGCCAGTGCTCTTAATCTTTGAGCCATCTCTCCAGCCCCCACCAACCAAACTTTTACCCATCCTCTGAATGTGTAACTTAGAAAAGCTAAAATCAGGCCTGGGGAGATGGCCCACTGGGTAAAGTGCTTGCTCTGCAAACACGAGGCCCTGAGTTTGGATGTCTGTATCCCTACCTCCGACAAGGTGGACAACAGGTAAATCCCCAGGCCTTGCTCATCCACCAGTCTAGCCAAAATGGAGCAAGCTGTGGGTTCAGGGAGACACCTTGTCTCAGAAAACAAGGTGCAAAAATGATTAAGGAAGATATCCTCACATCAGCCTCTCAACGGGCACCCACACAGTTGAGTGCATCTGCACTCATGTGTGCACACACTTGCATATGCCACACACACACACACACACACACACACACACACACACACGTACACTTAGATAAATGGATCAAAACTATAAATAAATGGATTGAAACTGTACAGAACACTCATGCCATAGAGTAAGCATGTAATAAATGTCAGTAGTTACTTAAAAATTTAACTTAATTATAATGTTTACTTCCCATTGAAATAAAGGTAACCTGAAAAAGTTCTCCATTATCCCTGAAATAGCATTTCTTTTTTCTTTTTTCTTTTTTGTTTTTTTTTTGAGACAGGGTTTTTTTGTGTAACAGTCCTGGCTGTTCTGGAACTTGTCTTGCAGACCAGGATGGCCTTGAACTCCCAGAGATCTACCTGCCACCATTGCCTGGCAAAATAAATGTTGGTTTTTTCTTTTTTTTTTTTTTTTTTTTTTTTTTTTTGGTTTTTCGAGATAGGGTTTCTCTGTGTAGCTTTGAGCCTTTCCTGGAACTCGCTTTGTAGACCAGGCTGGCCTCGAACTCACAGAGATCTGCCTGCCTCTGCCTCCCAAGTGCTTGGATTAAAGGCGTGCGCCACCACCGCCTGGCTCAAAATAAATGTTTTTAAAAATGTCTTTGTGACACTTGTTATTGGTCATTACTATATGATGCAGGTTTTTACATGATCTATTTAGTCCTCAAATAACTGTGTGATATGATCTTATTATTCCACTTCATTTATTAGAGTACTGAGGTTTAGAGAGGTTTAAATAGTTGTCCAATGCAATGTTGGACATTGCATTGCAATGTCCTGGGTCATGGTGCGATGCACCATGTACTGGGAGGACAGAATGGAACAGCCTTCACTTGGTGTGCATGGTGATGGGGATGGAGTCTAGGGCTTCACACATGCTGGGCAAGGGCTCGACAACTGGACTACATGACCAGGACAAATCTAACAGTCTTCAAAGAGTTAAGTGTTTGCAAACACTCACCACCGTGGTGGGTCATAGTGTGCATATCTGGAACCTTGCACTCAGAGGCGGAGGCAGGAAGGCAAAGGGTTGAAAGCCAGCCAAATGTGTGCCAAGGTCCTTCTGAGACTCATACCAAATTTGTCTTATCGTTATGTGTTTTGGCTTTGATCTGATGCAACGAATTGATTGGGCTTTTATACACTGATATTTTTATAACTACAGGATAGAAAGTGAAAATGACAACAAAGTTCTTTCTACTCGATTTGCAGAGTGAGAGCTAATGTCAATCTGTGTTAGCAGAGGCTTTTTTGTTTTGTTTTGTTTTGTTTTTTGAGACAGGGTTTCTCTGTGTAGCTTTGGAGCCTGTCCGGGAACTTGCTCTGTAGACCAGATCCCCCTGGCTCTGCCTCCCAAGCGCTAGAATTAAAGGCGTGTGCCACCACCGTCCGACTTATCAGAGACTTCTTTAACTGTGGGCAAAAACTGAAGTCAAGAGAAACGCAGATATGGGGGCTGTAGAGATAACGCAGTGGTTGAGAGCGTACACTGCTCTTCCAGAGGACCCTAGTTCAAATCTCAGAACCCATATTAGCAGCTCCCAACTGCCTTAACTCCAGATCCAAGAGAGTCCAACACCTCTGGCTTCCTCAGACATCTGCACACACGTGCCCATACCTACACACACACACACACACACACACACACACTTACTTAAAAATAATTAAAATAAATCTTTAAAAAAGAAACAAGAAACACAGCTATGCAAGCCACAGGTCCTGGTGTCTCTGAGAGCAGCGGCTATACCAAGCAGAGGAGCTTAAGCAGACAGGCAGTCTATTAGGTCTTATTGATTGACAAGTGTCCCGTGGACATGCTAAGGATTTAGTGTTTTCTCCCAGAAACAACAGTAAGCCATTAAAAGATGTGTTCATTTATTTATTCAGTTATATGGTTGGATGTGGTTTACATTTAGTCTTTCATATGCTAGGCAAGTGCTCTGTCATATTGCAGAGCTTCGTGGACCAAAATAAAAAATCCTTTATGATTTATAGTAAGACCAATTATATTGTTTAAATTTTAGAGGGCTGGGGAGAGTTGGTGGAGTGTGTGCCTTTCATGTACAAGGGTCTAGGTTCAATTGCCAGTACCAGAAAAACAGAAAGAAAGAAAAAGGGAGACAAGATTACTTCAGGCTAATGCATTTATTTCACCTTGGAAATCCTAATGTCAATAAGTCTATCACTGAACTGGTTTTATCAAATAAGGATAAACACACGTGAAAACAATTAAAATTAATTTTAGCTATCACTCCCGAGAAAAGAAAATAATCTCATCGCTCCTCAGAAAAGTTTTGCTATTCCATATACATAAGCCTCCAAGTGGCTAAAGGCTGCCTCTTTCTGTATTACACCTCAGCCCCTGGCTGAAGAACCTTATGGAGCTCCCGGGTGCAAGTGCATCTGTCTGAGCAGAGTGGATTGCAATGGAGACTCTGCTGCCCCCTGGTGGCACCCGCTGCCTTTCATTGATTCTCTGTTTTTTTTTTTTTTTTTGTTTGTTTTTTTTTGGTTTTTTTTTTTTTTTTTTTTTGTTTTTCGAGACAGGGTTTCTCTGTGTAGCTTTGCGCCTTTTCCTGGAACTCACTTGGTAGCCTAGGCTGGCCTCGAACTCACAGAGATCCGCCTGGCTCTGCCTCCCGAGTGCTGGGATTAAAGGCGTGCGCCACCACCGCCCGGCTGATTCTCTGTTGTAGCTCAGAAGATCTGCGGGATTGCTAGCCCATACCGCCTCCTCTGGTGAAGACCACTGGATCTCTGCAGCACTGCACACATGCCTCCTTGCAGCATGCAACTACATGTGCCCGTACCCACTTAACAGTGAACCCCCTTTGTAGGTACAGTTTTACAACCAAAGCCTGACAGAACAGGTAGGACCTGGAACTTCCTCTCTCTCATCTTCAGGGTCCTTTTTAACTTGTTCCCTTTGAGAAAGTGATTGGGTACTATTTCAAATTTGCCTGGTAGGGACTTCAGTGATCCGTAGCCCATGCTCATGTAAAAGCATTAACTTAGACTTGTCTGAATACACATTTATTTGTTTGTAACTCACTTTAGATTTCGTTTGGGGTTGCTGTTTTCTTTCTCTGTCCTTCCTCCCTCCTTCTCTTCCCCCATCCTTCCTTTCTTCCTTCCCTCTCACTACTCTCCTCTTCCTTCCTCGTCTTCCCCATTTCTTTATTATTTGAGACTATGTAGGCCAATTTGGCTTTGAATTCACAATTTTACTTCCTCAGCCTCCCAAGAATTGAGGACTGGTAATTTGCTCATTGTTGACCTATGGAATCCTTCTTTTTTTTCTAGCTGAGGTCAGATCTAACTGTCAAAAGGTCTCAGATAGTGGCAAGGCTTTGGGTTTGGGGCCTCTGCCTCTCAATGCCATCTAGGCACACAAGCATCCAGGTCATCAGCTGAACTCAGTCATCTGGACTCACGGTCTTCTGCTGAGTCCTATGATGATATTTTATTTGTACTGAAATGTGATTTTATTTGTATGTTAATAAATAAAGTTGCCTGGGGGGGTCAGAGCTACTAGCAAGCCATAGCAGAAGCTGGGCGGTGGTGGTGCATGCCTTTAATCCCAGCATTTGGGAGGCAGAGCTGGGCAGATCTCTGTGTGTTCAAGAATACAGCCAGCATGGAGACACACGTCTTTAATCTCAGTACCAACCATAGAAGACCTGGAGGTCTGTAGAGACAGGCAGTGATGAGGAGATCATGTGGTTGGGTTTACAACCAATGAGAAGGCAGAACAGAAAGTCAATAAAAAGACAAACACACAGGAAGTAGGTCTCTTGCGGAGAGGTAGGACAGCAGCGGCAGTGAAGGGTAAGGTTTTTAGCTCTTAGCTATTGCTTTTAACTCTTGGGTTATTAACTCTGCATTTGGCTCTGTGTTTCTTATTTAATAAGACCGTTCATCTACAGAGTCGAGAGTTCCCTTGTGCAAACTCTCTTGAGTTGGGAGTTGTTTTCTCTTCCTTTCCCTTGATGGGAGGATCTTACTACATATTAGCGTGGTCTCAAATTTCTATTTTTTTTTTTACCTTAGCCTCCTGAGTGCTGAGCTTACAGGTGTGTGTTCCCACACCTGGATTTTCTTTGTCCTAAACACTTGAGTACATAGGACATGTTGGGAGCCTGTCTACTTCCCAGCTTCTTGCTTCCTGCATGAGCCAAAGCTTGCTTTCTGTGGCCTACAGCCCATCTTGGGCTGTTTAGGCACTAGCATGCCTGAACTCTCTCCTCTTAAATCTTGTTAGCTTAGCTGGGCAGTGGTGGCACATGCCTTTAATTCCAGCACTCGGGAGGCAGAGCCAGGTGGATCTCTGTGAGTTTGAGGCCAGCCTGGTCTACAAAGCGAGATCCAGGACAGGCACCCAAACTACACAGAGAAACCCTGCCTTGAAAAACCAAAAAAAAAAAAAAATCTCATTAGCTTATTTATCTGTGGGTGCTCATAGGTTCCCAGAGACATGATGGCTAATATGGTAATCAATCAACCAATCAATCTCCCCCACCCCTGTGAAGAGGCAAGCTGCCTTGCTTTTCCTCATAGTCTCTTCTGTCACTCATAATCCCTCCTTTTCTAGAACAAGAATGGACATTTCTTGTTGATTTAGCTGGTCTTTCTATATAGCTCTAGATGACCTGGAGCTCATTATGTAGAGCAAGCCAGGCTCATACTCACAGGGATCCACCTGCTTCTGCCTCCTGAGTGCTGGATTATGGTTATGAACTAATGAACTACCATGCTCCATTTTATTTATTTATTTATTTGGAGAAAAGAAAACCCAAGTCTTACAAAAAATAGGTTTGGAGCTGGGCAGTGGCAGCACATGTCTTTGATCCCAGCACTTGGAAGGCAGAGGCAGGTGGATCTCTGAGATAGAGGCCAGCCTGGTCTACAGAGTGAATTACAGGGAAGCCAGGGCTACACAAAGAAACCCTGTCTTACAAACAAACCAACAAGAAAACCGAAGTGCTTTTGTTGTTGTTGTTTTTCAACTCTTACTATTGCCAAAAATGTTTTTCCATTCCCGAAAAACCAAGTCTTCTGCAACACCAAGGCCTGGAAGGCATCTTTGCTCTTGAAGTGATGAACATGGAACGCTGAGCTGCTTGTTTGGGGTGGAGCGATGTGCAGTGAGAACTAAAAGGAGCCTGGGGTGGGATGTGTTACTATCATCCTCTCGTGCATATGAAAAGCAAACAGGATAAAATAATACTGGTAATGCTCTCACACAATGCTCCCCCTCTGTCTAGGTGAAACCAGGTCCTCGGCCTTAAGAAGCAGCTCTCTGCTCTGTTCCTTGCTGAGATGTCAAAGAAGCCCTGTCCTGAGTAAGCAGACTGCTGGAGGAGCCAATGGTCTCTAAGAGGCTTTGTCTTGTCACTAGAGATCTGGTTTTGAGTGATGTCAGGGCTGAAGAGTTGACTTTGGACGTCAAGAGAGCTTGCTGCTCTTCCAGAGGACCAGAGTTTAGCTCCCAGGACCTACATAAGCAGGATCACAACTGCCTATGACTCCAGATCCAGGGGAGCTGACATCCTCTTCTGGCCCCTGTGGGCACCCAAATTCACACGCACAAACTCACACACAGAAACAGACACATAGTTTTTTTTTTTTTTTTAAAGTTTGATTCTTTCATTTGGTTTGGTTCTAGTAATATGACAGTTTCATAAAAAGCCACTAATTTGCTGTGGAAAAGAGTCAAGATACCGTGAGAGTATCACATAGTTTCTTTTACACCCATAAACAGGTACAACAGAAGAATTGTTTACCTTTCTTCTTACAAGAATGAAGCAGCATTCTCAACACACCTCTTTTGCCTTTCTTTTCTTTTTCTTTCTCCCTCCTCCTCCTTTTTGTTTTTCCTTTTGAGAGAGTCTTTTTATGCATTCTAGGCTGGCCTCAACTGATTTCAAGCTAGTAGATCAGAATGACGTGTGTGTGTGTGTGCGTGCGTGTCTCTGTGTGTGTGTGTTTAGGTGTTGTTTGTACATATTTCTCTGGATGTGTGTATATATGTGGAGGCCAGAGTTTGATGTGTGGTCTCTTCCTCTGTAAATCTCCATCTTCTTTTTGAGCTAGGATCTCTCATTTAAGCTGGAACTCATCAATTTAGCTAGGCTGACTGGCCAATGAGCTCCAGGAATCATCCTCCTTAGCACTGAAATCACAGGTGTGTACCACCACACACAGTTTTTGTGTGGGTGCTGGGGACCCAAATTCAGGTTCTCATGCTCGAGTGTCAGTTGCTTTATTGACTGAGACATCTTCCCAGACCCCAGAGCACATATTTTAATTAGTTTGTCATTGCAGTATGTAAGACAAAATATAAAATGACCAGTTTGCAGCCCAGACATGAGACAAGGTGAGAGAAAGGTTTTAACTGGACTAGTTAATTTTCTATTGCTGTGATCAAACACCACAAACAGGGAGATTTATAGAATACAGAGTTTGTTTGGGTTTACAGTTCCAGAAGGTTAGAGTCTAGGCAGGGCAGCTAGATCAGGAAGCTGAGAGCGTATATCTTGAGCCACAAGCAGTAAGTAGAGAGCAAACGAGTCTTCAAACTCTCAAAGCACATCTCCAGTGGCATACTGCCTCCAACAAGGCCATAGCTGCTAAGCCTCCTAAACAGTGCCATCAATTGGGGACCTATGGTGGTATTTTATTTGTACTGAAATGTGATTTTATTTGTATGTTAATAAATAAAGTTGCCTGGGGGTCAGAGCTACTAGCAAGCCATAGCAGAGCTGGGCGGTGGTGGCACATGCCTTTAATCCCAGCACTTGGTAGGCAGAGCTAGGTAGATCTCTGTGTGTTCAAGGATACAGCCAGCATTGGAGACACATGCTCCAACGTGTGTCTGGAGGTCTGTACAGACAGGCAGTAACGAGGCAGTCACGTGGTTGGGTTTACAACCAATGAGAAGGCAGAACAGAAAGTCTATATAAGGACAAACAGACAGGAAGTAGGTCTCTTTTGGAGAGGTCTCTTGGCTGAAGAGGATAGCTGCAGCAGGCGGGTAAGGCTCTTAGCTCTAATCTCTTGGCTTTCTTCTTTGCATTGGTTCTGTGTTTCTTATTTAATAAGACGGTTGGTTACATCTACAGGGACCCAGTGACAAAATGCCTGGTACTACTGGAGACAATTCTCATTCCAACTGTCACATTACCAAAGGACACGGGAGTTCTGTAGTGAGCCATCTCTGAGTCTTCAAGAAACTTGAAGAATAAGAGCTGCGGAACTGAAAAACACAAGAAGTCAACATTTTCCAGGACTGGTTGTCAGATATGCCTTTAATCCTAGCACTTGGGAGGCACAAGCAATTGGATCTCTGTGAATTTGAGGTCAGTGTGGCTACATAATGAGACTTTGTCTCAAACAAACAAAACAACAACGATAAAGTGCTTCTTGCACAAACAAACAAAAACATCAACTTTGGGGCTAGAGCTATAGCTTAGCTGGTAGCATGCTTAACCCTAATACACATCAGACTCGGTGCTGCGTACATTGAACTTAGTGGCCTGTGCATACAATCTCAGCACTTGGGAGGGAGGCAGGACTGCTGCAGGTTTGAGGCCAATTTGGTCTACCCTGTGAGTCCTCTATGGTCAGAGCTACATAGCAAGCTCCTGTCTCAAAAAGGAAAAAAAAAAAACAACTTTAAAGCTTAATTCTATCCAGCACATAATGTTACAGCCTGCTTCAAGCTCAGAACAGGAAATAGGTGGTCTTTATAATTCGAGTTTTACATATCCTAAATCTAGCAGCCAGCAGGAAGGAATCATCACATCGTATGGGTGGCTGCAGTTACACCTGCTTTCCTTTCCTTTCTAAAGACACTGCTGGCTGTTGCTAGCTGCACCCCACATTCTTATTTCTGATAAGAAAAAAACGTAAGTGTACTGACAAGGGAAGCATCATGCTCTATCTAGATGGTATGGCTCTCTCACGGAATTCTGGAGGCCAACAAAATGCACTGGGAACTGCCATTTTTTAATGTAACAGACTATGTCATGAGATGAGGTGACATAATCTAGTGCATTCTCATATACACAGGTAGACTATTAAAAAAAAGTTACTTGACACAGTTTCATGTTGCCCAGGGGTGCCCCGTGAATCCTGATACTCCTACCTCTAGTTCTGAGATTACAAGTGCTGGGAACCAACCTCAGCGTGTTCATTTTTTAAAGATAAGGTTTCGTTCTGCAGTCCTGACTGACCTAGAGCTGACCATCTTTCTGTCTACCTCCTAAGTGCTGAGTATATAGAAGGTACCACCTGGCCTGTCTTAATTTTTTTTTTTTTCCTTTTTGGAGAGAGTGCCTCTTTACGTAGCCCAGGATAGCTTGAACTGAACAGGCATGCGCTAAAGCTACTCATCTTAAATATACTTTTTTATTTTTGCAAAGGGGTCTTTGTTTTGCATAGCTCATGCTGACCTGGAGCTTGCGTGGATCCTCCTGCCTCTCCCTGCTCAGTGCTGAGATTACCACGACAGCTTTAAGATGTACATTTTTACACCAAGCCCGTTTAAGGAAAAAAGTAGACTCTAGAAGCGTACGAAGTTTTAACAGAAGTCAAAAACACCCTCTTCTGGGTTCTCAACATGAGCAGTTCGAAGTCTTAGGTCTAGACTGGGTCACTTACAATATGATGGTCAAACGACAACAATACGTTAATAGTAACATGATAGCTGTTATTGATTAGATGCAATCAGTGTATGTCAGGCAACCCGACAAGTAATTTATGTATTTAATCTCCAAAACGCTTTCCCGAGGTAGGTGGGCATTTCAAACAATTTTAAATTAATTTATGTATGCCCGTGCCTGAGTGCAGACACGACATACGTTTGGAGGTCAGATGACAACTGGGAGATAACACTCTTTCCTTCCACCCTGTGAATTCCGGGGTCCAGCTCGGTCGTCAAGAGCAGTAAGTGCCACTGAGCCATCTTGTCTGCTCCAAGTAGAAATTTTATTCCCATTTTTCTTAGACGAGTAAACTAAGTTTCGGAGTAGTTACTGGCAGTTCGTGGCAGAGCCGAGGCTAGGATCATTTCTAAGTTTGCCACCCAGAGATGCCGCAAACACCGGTAAACAGCTCACGGACCGAAAAAGAACTCGGCCATCCCTCCAGCCACTAAAGAGAGGTAGGATACAGCGGCTAGGCGCAGAAACCGGAAAAGAGGGGGACGGAACCGGAAACCAGAGTACAGCTTCCGGCTGCGCGCAGGAAGTGGTTCTTCCAGCGTGTCGCCAGCGCAGCTCGCGGAGGCTCTGTAGAATTTGTGTCCCTCACGCGCACGTGGTGCCCGCGTCCCGCTTCCCAGCGCCTGCAGTGAAGATGTCGCACCCATCCCCGACAGCCAAGCCCTCCAACCCCAAGAACCCGCGGGTCTTCTTTGATGTGGACATCGGCGGGGAGCGAGGTGAGCGGCGCGGCCGGCTCCGCGGCTCCCGCGCCTGGGGCCTCCCGGCTGCGGTTCTGCTCGGCCCGCTGACTGTCCGGCGGCCCGGGGCCTGGGGTCGGGAGGGGATAGCAGCCTGGATCCTACCCGGATCAAGACCTGGCGTCCACGAGTCCAGGTTGAGCCTGCTCCCTTGTAGGCGATGCATTAGTTCCCGGAAGTTTCTGGAAATTTCTACTTTAGGAATTGTGGCGTCCCTTACGTTGTTTTGTCTCTTGATTTGGTCGCACTTCCCTGCAATCTTTGCGCCACCGTTTATTACAAAATAAAATGAGCCGGGCGGTTGTGGCGCACGCCTTTAATCCCAGCACTTGGGAGGCAGAGGCAGGCGGATCTCTGTGAGTTCGAGGCCAGCCTGGGCTACTGAGCGAGATCCAGGAAAGGCACAAAGCTACACAGAGAAACCCTGTCTCGAAAAACCAAAATAAAAAAAAAAAAAAAAAGGAACTCTTATTTATGACTTATGCATAGATGAATCTAGAGAATATTGTACTGAGTGAAATAAGTCTGCTGCAGGATCTCACTTTCATGGAATCTTAAAAAAAAGTTGAACTCAGAAGTAGTATGAAGGTACCACTGACTGGGGAGATGTCAGTCAAAGGATGCATAATTCTTGTAAAGAGAGGTAAGCTCAAAAGTTCTGTTACACAACATTGTGGCTATAGTTAACATAAGTTGTTAAAAGAGAACTAAATGACTCATTGAACGATGTGTTAACCACTGGTTAGGCATACTAGTTATCCCCTTTTTGTTTACCCATTTAGTTACTTTGCACAGTGACATGATTTCCTTTTCTTTTCCTTCAGTTGGCAGAATTGTTTTAGAATTATTTGCGGATATTGTGCCCAAAACTGCAGAAAATTTTCGTGCATTGTGTACAGGAGAAAAAGGCACTGGATCCACAACTGGGAAACCTCTCCATTTTAAAGGATGCCCTTTTCACCGAAGTATGTGTCTGTTTATCTTGATACAGAAATCAGTCCTGCTCTTAGGAGCTGAAGAAGAATATAAAGTTAGGTGAAAGGTCTAACAACTCAGTTTCTTGAAGGATACTTGGACACAGGTGATAGCTCAGTATCAAAGGCTTGGCTGTGAGCAGTGGGATTGATTGTGGGAGCATACCAAAGTTTATCTGCTGGGAAATGGACAATCTGACCTCACCAGTCTTCTGACTACCTTTTCAAACCATTTCATTGGGAAAGAAAAAGCATGACAGATAAATAAGCTGACCTTAGGTCGTTTTACAGCCTGGGCAGAATTGTTTGAAAAGTCTGACTATTCAGTGTTTTGGACCCTCTGGTAATATGTGATGAAACTCTGATTTCACGCAGATTATTTGACTGCTGTCCCAGTAGTTTTTAGGTTCAGTAATCATAAGTTCACAAGCTGTATGCTCTCACCATTTTATTCTTGCATCTAATAAAAGTCTAAGTAAACAGTAAATACTTATGAATAAATAAATTACAGTATCAGTAATTTTCATGTATTGCAGGGAATTGAATCCAGGGTATTACTGTTTACACACCTACTCCAGTAATTGGATTTTCTTAAAAATAGTTTATTAAGAATAATGAACATTGATTTTTAAATGTTTAAAATTGATTTACTTTCATATTTATTTATTTATTTATTTATTTTTTAAGATTTATTTATTTATTATGTATACAGTATTCTGCCTGCATGTGTCCCTGCAGGCCAGAAGAGGGCACCAGATCTCATTACGGATGGTTGTGAGCCACCATGTGGTTGCTGGGAATTGAACTCAGGACGTCTGGAAGAGCAGTCGGTGCTCTTAACCATTGAGCTATCTCTCCAGCCCAACTTTCATATTTATTAAGAAAATAGTTAGCACAGTATTTTTAAAACTTCTTTCAAAGAGCAGTTGGCTGGAGTTGGTAACTTGACGTTTGAGCCATTCCTTAAATCACAAGGTTGATGAATAGGCCTACACTATTTTTGCAAATGTAATTGGTAAGAAACATATGCTTTTTAGTCTTAAATTTTGGGACATGGTAGGCAGAGAATACTTTTATGATAATGCCCCAGGAAATATTTTGGGTGCTGGGGTTTTGCTTGCATTTCTTGGGTAGAATTATTGCAGGCGTTTTTGCATTTTTGTTGCTAGGAGAAATGTAAGTCCTATAACTATTATGAGAGGGAGAAGTCCAAGGAAGCAGGACATGGATACCTCCTAACGTAGTGTTTCTTTTTCTCTTGGCTAGTTGTGTGTATTACTACAGTGTATCCAAATGCTGAGTACCGTGAACCTAGGGTTCTCTGAGCATGGGGTGGTTTTAAACCATTGTCATTAAGTATACAGAAATCTCTGGCATGATTCCTAGCATATGTGAGTTTCTGGGCTCAATCCTCATTGTGTGTTCAACACTAATAGAGATAGTGTTTATTTAGCTGGCATTATTGAGCAAGTTTGTACATAGTTTCAAGGAGTAAAATACTGTTTAAGCAATTCATTGTTGGATGGGGACAGATTATTACATGTTATAAAATGGAAGTAGAGTCAGTATAATGATAGAAACTAGGTCTACCTTTGTGTTTCAGTGACAATTTATAGGGAGGTACTTTTGAATTAGTTCAAAGAACTAATTTCTTGGGAGCTGGTGGGTAATAAAGAGTTTTTTAGAATTAGGTTGTGAGAAGTCTAATGAGTAGAGACTGGATGGAAGCAGGGGAGAATGGCTAGGTACACCACTAAGGTTGTGCTTAGGAGGTTGTCTCTTCTTACTTGTTCATTATTAAGCATTGCTGAGATCTCCTGTTACAGTTGCTAGTAGCCATATTCCTTTTTTGCAGTTATTAAGAAGTTTATGATTCAGGGTGGAGACTTCTCAAATCAGAATGGGACAGGTGGAGAAAGTATATATGGTGAAAAATTTGAAGATGAAAATTTTCATTATAAGGTAAAGAAAAATTCTTGTTTTTGCTAATATAAAGATTATGTATTTGAAATATACTTGAATTAAGACACCAAAAAATACCTTTTGAGTGTGACCAGATTGCTGTCTTCTCTCCCCCTGCCCCTCCTCCTCCTTCCGGTACTAGGGTCTTCTATGCCAGACAAGTGCTCCCTCGCTCAGCTACCTTTCCTCCCATTTCCCATGTTGAGACTGGGTCTTGCCTTGTTGCTCAGGATAGCCTTAAACTGTAGCCCAGGCAGGCCTTGAACTCCCAGTCCTTTTACTTACCCTCCTTAGGAGCTGGGATTATAAACCTGTTAGCAGGCCTGGTGTGGATTATGCTTTTCTTAGAAAAGAAATCATATTCATAAATAAACATTTCTAAGCGCTTGTGGTGCTGGGTATGAATGAGCTCAGGGTCTTGTGCATGCTAGGCAAGTTCTCTACCACTTGAGCTACATCCCAGTTCAGTATGCATCTTTAATGTGGGAAGGATTTATCCAGTAACAGTTTTCTTTTTTTTTTAAACAGTTTTTTTGGGTTTTTGTTTCTTTTTTTTTAAGATTTTATTCATTTATCATGTATACAGTGAATGTTCAGCCTGCAGGACAGAAGAGGGCACCATATCTCATTGTAGATGGTTGTGAGCCACCATGTGGTTGCTGGGAATTGAACTCAGGACCTCTGGAAGAACAGCCAGTGCTCTTAACCTCTGAGCCATCTCTCCAGCCCCACAGTTTTCTTTTTTGAGACAGGGTTTTACTGTGTAATCCAGGGTGGTCTTGAATTTACCATCCTCCTGCATTGCCTCCTGAGTGTTGGAATGACAGATAAACATTACCATACTTGGCCAGTCTGATATTTTGGCAAAAATACAGTACTTATTTCACTACAGTCAGTTTTTATATGCTTCAGTTAAGCCAATGAGTTTTTAAGCTGCCATATGGCAAAATTGATCCCAGGAAAAAAATGTTCTCATTATTGTAAGGATGGTAACTTGTGCATCTTTATCCTTGAATTTGAAGAACAACAAAACCATCGCTAATATCCAGGATGTCAGGGGATTTTCCACCTAGCGGATATGGTTAATGTTCGGGGTGTATTGCACCATTCCCGTTTTAAGAACAGACATGTAAGTACAAAAGTAAAGTGATGTCTTTGGAAATGAGGAATATAAGCAAGGTAATTAGGGTGACTTGGAAAGAGAATTTTTGTTGTTCAGTTCTATCACTGCACCAAAGAGCTTATGAAAAATGAGAGGCTGTTTATTATCTTACCTCAGAGTCAGGATTAAAATACAAGGGACAGTGGAGGATAATAATACATAATATGCATGTAAATGCTAAGTAGATTGAACATATTTGTTGTATAACTTTGATAGAAGACTTTATTCTAGAAATATTTCAGATTTCAGAGTTATTTTGATTTCAAAATATTTGCATAGGTTTTATAGGTTGAGCATCTCTAATCTGGTATGTGAAAGTTGTTGCTCAAAAGTGTCAGATTTTGTAACGTCTGACTTTGGTTTTCAGATTAAGGAAGTTCAACCTTTAGGATGGAACTTGCTGTGTAGACCAGGCTGGCCTTGAACTCACAGAGATCTGTCTCTGCCTCCTGAATGCTGGGATTAAAAGCATGTGGAGCTACACTTAGCCATGTGATAGGAGAAAGATTGAGATCAAGTTAGTAGGAGAGACACTAGGAGGTTTGGTCACTTAAGCTAGGCAAAGTGGGTCTGCAGATGGCTGAGACTGTGCTAGTCTGGGCCTAAAATACAGATTTCAGATTGACAGTGAGGACAGCAACAGGGAAGGGCAGTGGAATATCAGAGAAAGCAAGCTTAACTGTGTGGTGAACAGTTAAAGGGAAGCACCAAACAAAGCTATCAGGAATAACTGAGGTATTTCTGACCATTGCATTGATTAAAAGAAAGGAGGCCTAAGGAAAAAACAACTTGGTTGTGGCATTGCAAAAATGAGTGACCTTGAAAGCTGAATTGGATTTACGTTGATGAGATATCTTAGGTGTGGGAAAAGTAACCTGAGAGTTATGAGGCATGCACTAGAGGTATGCATTCAGAAAGGCTATGCTATCTATGCAAAGTAGAAAAGCAAACTGTCTTGTCCTTGAACATACTAGTTGCAAGATGTTCCTTTGCATACTCTTCAGAGTTGTTCATTTACCTGGATGAAAGCCATAAGATTGGAATTATTTTCCAAATTAGGGAAGTACTTATCTGAATAACTTGTCTAAATTCAATACTACATTACTGATCTCAGTTTAGTGAAAAGGAAGAATTGTAATATAGGCCAATTCTGATTGTGGGAAGACTGTATAGGTGTTTTCAGAAAAATAGTAACTGTCACCGAAAGAGCAAAGTAAATTACTAGATGTCCTTAGTGTGGCATCATCTTCTTTAAGTGTAAGCATCCCTTGCAGTTGGCCAGTTTAGAAATACCTGCCTCTTATAAAAGTAAAATCAGAGAAAAAGGTACTTAAACACTTATAAGTGAAATTGATGTAAAAGAGTAAATAGTCGTACACTTCATTTATTTTAGATGAAGAGTCAATAAAAGGAAATTCAGACTAAGGCCTCTAACTTTGTTTTTCTTTTGATGATTTTTATCTCTGCAGCATGATCGAGAGGGTTTGCTGAGCATGGCAAATGCAGGCCCCAATACAAACGGTTCTCAGTTCTTTATCACAACAGTTCCAACTCCTCATTTGGATGGGAAACATGTGATATTTGGTCAAGTCATTAAAGGACTAGGTGTGGCAAGGATGCTTGAAAATGTAGAAGTGAATGGTGAAAAACCTGCCAAAGTAAGTAAAAAGTTACAGTGGAATAAACAGGCCTGCTTAGTTACTGTGTCAAGGAAATGCAAGTTACAGGGTCAGATGATTGTTAGTTAGAAAGTAGGAAAGAAATTAGGATGTTTTTGCTGTAGGAGCCTGGATTGGCCACTTTTCTCTGAAACTTTTTAAAACAATGGCTAAGAAGATTACTTTAAAGGAAAAACGTTTGTTTATTCAAAACAGGTAGACCTAGCTTTCCTTGAATTGTCTGGTAGTCTTTTTGTCATTGCTAATGCTACTCATGCACCAGGATTAACCCGCTATGGCCAAGAAAGCGATTTGAATTCTTGTTTCAGCTTCAGTGTCATCTAACAAGTGATCTTTGTAAGATTGCCCGAGTCTTCCCCTATCAGTGAGGCTTCTGCGTTAGTCGTAATTAACTGTAGTACACACCAGAAAGAAGATAGTGAGTTCACTGCTATTGAACTGAAGTTTGGCATAGATCTTGTTACTGTCTTGACCTGTTTTTCCAGCCTGTATAAATTGCTTAAGTGCTTCAGACTGTATTGTATTCTAAATGTGTGTGAAGCAGTGACTATGAGAGACATGCTAACGAGACTGCATAGGGATTAGAAATCCAGTTACTCATAGGAAGAATGCCAGCCAACAGTACATGACAGGAAGACTGCACTCTCAAACTGTAAAATACTGTGACTAGTGACACTGTCATATTAGTTGGAATGTACATAAAAGGAAATTACTCTAGTTAAAGCAGATAGATGCATTCCTGTCAAGTCTGTGACAGTAGTAGTAGCAGCGTATATGACTGGTCTAAAGTGCAGCCTTTAAAGGTAGATTTAAAGATCTCTAAATACTCACTTCAGTTTAATATTTTTACAGCCGTGTGTTATTGCAGACTGTGGAGAACTGAAAGATGGGGATGACTGGGGAATATTCCCCAGAGACGGCTCTGGTGATAGTCATCCTGATTTCCCCGAGGATGCAGACATAGACCTCAAAGATGTGAGTATTAGAGATGAGTAAACTTGAATTCCTTAAGTGAAGTAAAATATCTAGTTTCAAAAGCTTGATCAGCCTGTCATAATGATAGAACCTTAGTGTTAAGTCACATTATTTACTAACATCCAGCATATTTGTATTTTATACAGGTAGATAAAATTTTATTAATATCTGAAGACTTAAAAAACATTGGAAATACTTTTTTCAAATCTCAGAACTGGGAGATGGCTATTAAAAAATATGCAAAGGTTTTAAGGTAATACAGCATTTTTAATAAATTACTTTTGAGAATGTATAAACTGAATTATTTTGAACTAAAACTCAAAATCACTCATATTTAGCAAGTTATTTGTATAATAAACAGCTATAATGAAAGAGTTACATTTCTTGCCGGTGTGGTGCCTACCTTTAATCCCAGCACTAGAAAGACACAAGCAGGTGTATCTTTGAGTTGGAGCCTACCCTAGTTTCCAGAGCTAACTCCAGGACAGCCCCGGGCCTACACAGAGAAATCCTGTCTTGAAACAATAACCCCTCCCCCACAAAAGAGCTACATTTTTTTGTTGCCCTGACTTATTTTGAACAATTTCAAAATCCAGAAAAGTTGAAGTGGGACTCAACTACATGTTTTTACCCTTTCATGGGTTTTTAACTTTTGTGTTTGCACAAAACTTATAGATTCCATATTTACTCCTGAGTATATCAGCACATAATGTACTTGCTAAAGAGCAAACGCAGTCTAAATTACTTACCTCAATAAGACAACACCCTCTCAAGAAGATATCAATATATCAATGTATCAAATATACAGCCTGTTTTAATTTTTTCCTGTTTCTTTTTTCCTAGTTCAGAGTGCAAACTAAGATAAGTATTTGGCTGTAATGCTGCTTTTATTTTTGGAGATAGGGTTTTAGCTCTGTCTGGTATGGAACTCACTATGTAGATGAGGCTGGCATCATACCCAAAGATCTTCCTTATTCTGTGTGTAGCCTCCTTCCCCCCCCCCCCCCCCCCCCCCCCCCCCCCCCCCCGTCTATTGGGATTCACAGTGTGAGTCATGCCTGGCATCTCCAGTATCTTTTTATTAGATTTTTATTTACTCATGTAAATGATTTCTCATGTATTTTGTGTGTGAATGCATGTGCCACAACATGAGAGTAGATGTCAGAGGACAAACTTATGGGGGTTGGTTCTCCTACTGTGTGGGTGCTGGGATTGAGCTCAGGTTTAGGCATCTTTTGGCCGTGCATTTAAAAAATGTTGTGTGTGTGTGCCTGTACATGTGTGGAGACGAGAGTTCAACTTTGGATGTCATCCTTAGGGACATTGTGTAGCTCCTTTGAGACAGTCTCTTATTGACTAGAAGCTTACCAGTTAGACTAGACTGGTTGGCAGTGAGCCTCAAGGATCCGGCCTTCATTTAGCTCCTAGTGCTAAATGTCCAGCATTTATGTGAGTTCGGGTGGGGGGTGGTGTCACACTGAGGTCCCCATGCTTGCAAGGCAAGCATTTTCCCACCTGAGCTGTCTTCCCAGGCCTCCATGGATACTTTTGTAGTATCTTAGTAAGTTAGTACATAATTGTTACTTTAGAATGAAGAGCTTAAGTATTTTGGGAAGAAGATGTAGGTAGCGTGATATTGTATATTTCCTAAGATAAACACCTTGAAGACACATGTCAGTTTGGCCTGTTCTGTATTTGGGCACTTTGTTAAAGTGGTATCATTCTGATTGCCGTAAATGTCCCCCTTGTGCATTTTCCCCTTTGTAGATAGGAAATAGGTGCTACTGTGAGACTGTGAAGATGCAGTCTTCACACAGTGGTTGTAGTGTCGCTGAAGTGCCTTTGTGTAATTACTACATTGACTGTTGAAGGGCTTTAGTTCTTGAATTTTAACATTCTATAGGAGGCAGCCCCTCCTCCTCTAAGTCATAGTAAATCTGCGGGCCTTTAAAACTCAGTTTATTTTTTATTACATTAATTTATATATGTGTGTAGGCACACATACCACAGAGTACTTATGGAGGCCAGAGGGCAACCTGTGGGAGTCTGTTCTCTTCTTACTGTCTGGGTTCCTATTGGTCAAATTCAGGCCATCAGTTTTGGCTGCTAGTGCTTTTACACACTGAAACATTGTTTGTACACTTGTTACAAGTTCCTCCCTGTTTTTTGAGGTGCTGGGGGTTCTCAGGACCCTTGGCGTGTTAGATAAGTACCCTGAGCTACACTCCTAGCCTCATTTTTGCATGTTGTATCAGTGTGTTAGCACTTGCTTTTAGGCTGCTCTTAGAACTGCTTTGCTTTTGTATCTGTAATAAGCAGTTTCTAAGGAGTCAATTCCTTTTGGAGAAAGGAAACTTTAGAAACTAAGTTATAGGGACCAGATCCTCAGCTTAGCTTCTGGGATCTTTTCAGTCAACAGTTACATCAATGCTACGTGGCTAACAAAATGGCTCAGTGAGTAAAAGCACTTGCCAAGCAAACCTGTTACGCTAGCTCCTTGAAATCTACAGTAAAAGGAAGTAACTGACTCCCCAAATTGTCCTCTGACCTCCACACATACACCATTGTTTGTCTGGTACCTGTATCAAACACACAAATAATATTTTGAAACCAACACGACATAGTGCTTTGCTTTTTTTCCATTGAATTCAGTTGTCCTAATGTAGGAATACTGGTTCTAAACATAATTTATATTAGGAGGTATATAACATGAACCTGAGTTGTACATAATTAGATATGGGCACCATTGTTAGATCTTAACTGTGTGGGAAAGTTGATGTAAAAAATACCCTCTGGAGAAGTAGGGCTAGGAGTGTAGCTCAGTGGCAGGAAGGTGTGCTTAGCAGGATCACAAGCCCTGGGTTTAATTTCTTGCATCTGAAGAAAAAGTGTCATCAAAAACTTACCACCATCATGTATCAGATGGACCTTTAATATTAGACATAATGCTGAAGAAGCAGTGTGCAGTTACATGTTGCCTTTATTAATATGTTCTCTAGATACGTGGACAGTTCAAAGGCTGTGATTGAGAAAGCAGATACAGCCAGACTGCAACCTATAGCCTTAAGCTGTGTACTGAATATTGGTGCTTGTAAATTGAAGATGTCCAATTGGCAGGGAGCAATTGACAGTTGTTTGGAGGTAAGTCTGTGTGATGTTAAACCTTTGGAAGGAGTGGCAATACTTAGAAAAAGACAATGGTCCTTAATGTATTTAATTGCCTAGGACCTAATGAGACTTGACAAAATGTGACTTAAGTCATCTTGTCTCTGAATAGTTTGGATTGTTAGCTCTTTCTGCTAATCCATAATTTTGCTTTTTAATTGTCACCTAATATGTACTAAGTATTCTGCTTTCATTTCTTAAAGCATGTTTATCTGCTTATTTATTTGTATTTATGAGCTTGACATATATGAACACAGAGCCAGGAATGATTAAGAATGTAGGTATGAGGGTGGTAACCCACACCTATAATCCAAGCAAAGTAGAGGTAGGAAGGTGAGAAAATCATAGCCATCCTTTGCTACATAAGAGAGACCCTGTCTCAAAAACTAAACTAAAGCATGTGTGTAGATATGCTTTCTCTCCTGCCTGTGCTGGGTTTTCTGCTTGGTTACAACTGAGATATGTCCTGTGTACAGTCAGGGTATGTACTTAGACAAGGTCTTCCTGCTGCCTTTAAATTGCTGGGGTCAGACATGTTACATGCTGGGCTTGGTGTACTTTAATTTTATACTTGTGTGTGCATGTACAAGGGTCAGAAGACAACTGGTTAGTTCTCTCCTCCCACCTTTATGTGAATCCCAGAGATTGAGCCTAGGCTCAGATGTGCATGCAAATGTGTTTACCCACTGCGGCATCTCACTGGCTGCTTTTATTTTTTTAAAGCCCGATCCTCAAAAAGCTTATGGATAGGACACAGTGGGCAGACAGTTCCTATTTGGTGTTGAGATTGGTTACTACTGGAAATTACAACTACTGGTTATACATGGAAAGATACTTTGTCCCAATTGGGGCCATCCAAGTATACTGAATGATAGTTTCAAAAAAAAATGTTCAGACTAAATATTTTGGTTTTGCACATTAAACTTAGAGCATGCACCTATGCTCAGCAAGAACTATAGTAAGACCTGAGTGTGCAGCTTAGTGGTATAGTAGTACTTGGGTTATATTCACATGGCTACCCTTTAGTCCCAGCCTTCCCATTACCCCTTGCTTAAGTAGATGGAATGGATGAAAACAAGACATGTTACCATTTAGAACATGCAGTAGAGGAAAGTTTGCTTGTCCATTCTGGACCTCTTTACTTTTGTAAGGCAGGTAATACTCCATCTTAAGAAAAAATTCTCAGTATTGGCTCTCTTAAGAGCTGTCATGCAAACAAAATATACTGCTTTAAAAACGTTTGTTTCAGGGAAGAGACCTGTTAAAAGTTGTTCATGTTTGTAGTATTATTGCCTTCTCATGTCCTTGGATTCTGTGTTGTCAGATTATCTAACCACAGGTTGAATATTATTCTGTGATAAACATGTAGACGTTTATTGTCATCATTTCCTATAAATATAGCTGGACAAAGTTATATGGCAATTGAGTGACTTATATATCACTGGATTTTGGTTTTCAGGAAGTGTTGGACTGCCTTTGAACCAATGATTATATTAGAAGGCGACTGTATTTAAACTTTTATTTAAAATACTTTTTTCTCGGCCCTCTCCTCTCTCCCCCTCCCTCTCCTCTTCAAAGAAAAAAAAAAAGAAAAGTATTTTTTTCTCTTAAATAGTCTGGGTCCACTTGAGCTAGAAACCAGTGCAGAGCGCCACACTGGAGACTCATAAAGAAACCCATCCTTCTTTCCCACCCCCTCAGCACCCTCTACTGGTAAACTCCTGGCTGGCACAGGTGCTCTAGCTCCAGTGAGTTGGAGCCAGTTGATAACAGGCACTTTGAGATACAAATACTGATTTTATAACTTTTCTCATAGGCTCTTGAAATGGACCCATCAAATACCAAAGCACTATACCGCAAAGCGCAAGGATGGCAAGGATTAAAAGAATATGATCAAGCATTGGTAAATTATTTTCTCATTGTTTTATAATAGATGATCACCTTAAAAGATTTAATGTCTAATGTTTCTTAAATTCTCTCTGCCTCCATTAAAGGCTGATCTTAAGAAGGCACAGGAGATAGCCCCAGGAGATAAAGGTAAATTGGCAGGTTTTATCCTTCAAAAATGGGTCCTCATGAGCCAGTGTACACATAACCTTGACGTATTTATTTGTTCAGATATTGCATAGTGCCAGTTACTGGGCCAGGCACTGATTATATAGTAAATAGACAAGTATTCTGCTCAAGAATGTATTACTAGCTTTTTAATATGGTACTGCTTCTGTGACCCTTTCTGTTGAGATGAGGTTCTATTACATCAGTGCTAGCCAAAGGTTCAACAGTAAGAAATAAAGCATTCATTGTAATTTTAAAGCTTGGGACATTCCTTCCCTAAGCTGAATGTGGCTGTGACCATGACCAAGCATTGTATGTACTGGGTATGTTGCAGAGTAGCTATGATAGAAATGAACTTTCTCCAAGGTAAAGCAGATGAAGAGTAACACTAGGTCTAAATATTACTGCTAAAAAATATAGCTATGGCAGGGGATAGTTGTGTCACGACCACGCTATGTTAGTTGTTTTTCCAGTTTTTTAGATGCTGTGAAAATTAATTCATTGCCTTTTCTCCCCGCAGCTATCCAGGCAGAGTTGCTTAAAGTCAAACAAATGATAAAGGCACAGAAAGATAAAGAGAAGGCGGTGTATGCAAAAATGTTCGCTTAAAAATAATTAAACTTTGCTTAAACATTATACATTAATGATAATGTAAGTTACTGTCTACATATGATCCCTGATATGTTTCTCTTGATTTTTTGTCATCATTGCTTACGTAGAAGTACTGACATAGGTTTCTTCTTAATAAAGTGTTACAAAATGCAGTTAATCTCATTTAAAAATCTTTCTGTCTCCATTTTCACCAAGAATGATATCAGGCCAATCTTTAAACTAAATTTAAAGTCTTACTAAGTTTTAGGCTTTGTAAATGATTTGGCCCAGTGGTTCTCATTGGAAAACACATATATATACATTACAATTCATAACAGTAGCAAAATTATAGTTATGAAGTAGCAATAAAAATAATTTCATGGTTGGGGGGGGTCACCACAACATGAGGAACTGTATTAAAGGGTGGCAGTATTTAGGAAGGTTGAGAACTACTACTCTAGTCTGTCACAACTATGTGTATAGCTAGTGGGCATAGTTATGTTTCAATAAAACTATTCGTGTTTAGTTCTGGATGTCCTTCCCTGGTCTAGAATACACATTTGGTTTTATACTTGAAGATTTGTGTTTAGCAAGACAAATGCACTATGAAGGCCAATAGTACAAGTTCCTGTTGGTACTGAAGCTTCTGAAGGACTTGGGAAGTGAGATGCTACATCATTTACTTGTAAAGTTTTATTTAGGAGAAATAGTTTATGATTTTATGGGACAACTTTAGATATAAAGTTTACTTCAATAATGTTTAAGGACACTTGTTCAGAAGTTATCTAAACATTTTAAAAAGTTAGCTTGGCATACATTTACAGTTTTATCAAATGTGCCAGTAATTGAAGGCGCTTGTGTTTTACATGCCATTATAAGCAGGTCCTCCTCCACCTTCTGGCACCACCCAGTTAATATTCTGACTCGGGTCTTTGATATCACATGTTTTACAGTGCACACAGTTCTGAGCATTTATCTGTAATCGAAATCCATCACCTTGTTCCAAAGGAACAAATTCATAAACCCCTGTAAAATAAAAATAAATACATGAAGGTATATTAACAAAAGGTAACAAAAAGTAAATAATTCAAAAGTGAGTCGAAATTAAAATCTTAGAACAACTTCAAAAGCCTTTGAGGCTTTCAGGTTTACCCCCAGAGACTATCTGGTCTTGGTGTATATTGCTGCTATTAGTATGCTAATAAACTTAGTACTTCTACTAAATACATAGTAGAAACACAACAGTATTGTCTGGGTTAGTCTAACAAGAGTTAAACAAATGAGCTCCAGTCCTTTCCTCTGAGAGTTTATAGTACAGTGTAACTTTTAAAAGTCAAGACAAGACCTTCTAATTTCACTTGCACGTACAGTAATTTTCATATATCCCAGTGCTGTTTACTATATTATTTACATCTGTTTCTCATTAATTTTAACTGAAAGCTCTTAGCACTTAAGGGATTCAGTATTTGATGAATTTAAAGTTTAGTGTCACTGAATTTAGTGTGGCCGTCATGCATATACATGTACACACAAACTGTCATTTCAGAAACAGCTTTTTAAAACTACCCAAGAACAGGTATTTGTATTTGTTTTCTATAATCCTTTTTTCTAAGGGTAGACATGAAGGCTGTTTCGAGATGATAGGTCACCCAAACTAGGCCTAATCAAAATCTCTACTCTTTTGTCACTGCTAGTCAGAACATTTAGGACATGAGTTTCCTTAAGGATGTTGAACATAGAAGTATTTGCTTGTTTTTTAAATAAACAACCGTCTCCTTGCAATGGAAAGGGAACATCTTTAAATGGAAATTTGTTAATGTTTAGGAACAGAAGGAAATCATTACTGACCTGCAGGGCAGAATCGCTGTTCAGGCCCATCATATATTGACAGATTTCTATTAACAGGTATGCTGTCATCCTTTAAGGTTAAATGTGCTGGCTGATCATGTTCATGATTAGTACCACTCAGAGCCACAGATGATAAGAGGTCAAAACTGATCTGTCCATCAGGTTTTGGATACTCAATGGGTGTGCAATCCTTAGCTGGTTTGAGCCGATCAGAGTCTGAGCCTTAAGCAATTTTGAGGAAGATGTTTAATAAAGTAGCATAACTTTTTTAAAAGATTTATTTATTATATATACAGTGCTCTGCATGTATGCCCGCATGACAGAAGAGGGCGCCAGATCTCATTACAGATGGTTGTGAGCCACCATGTGGTTGCTGGGAATTGAACTCAGGACCTCTGGAAGAGCAGCCTGTGCTCTTAACCTCTGAGTCATCTCTCCAGCCCCAAAGTAGCATAATTTTCCAGTGCTTTTTTTTTTTTTTTTTTTTTTTTGGTGCTGGAGATTCAGCAAGATGCATACTAATTAATAGTCTCTTATCACTGAACTTCACTCTCAGTCCATCAATGAAGTAATCTTGTTACTTAGTTCAGACTGGCTTTGAATTACCTTCTTGCCTTTATCTCCCTTTGCCTGGCCTCAAGTAGTATATTAGAAAAACTTGGAGCTACCATCATACCGAAGGAAAGAGCTCAGTCTAGGGTAGTTTACCTTTTTTTTTTTTTTTTTTTTTTTTTTTTGGTTTTTCGAGACAGGGTTTCTCTGTGTAGCTTTGCGCCTCTCCTGGGACTCACTTGGTAGCCCAGGCTGGCCTCGAACTCACGGAGATCCGCCTGGCTCTGCCTCCCGAGTGCTGGGATTAAAGGCGTGCGCCACCACCGCCCGGCAGTTTACCTTTTAAAGATACTGAATTTCAGATGGGTGTGGTAATGCATATTTGTAATCTCAGTGCTTAGGAGGTAGAGGCAGGAGAAATAGTTTAATGTCAACCCTTTGACTACGAAGCAGATTTGATCCTGTCGCAAAATATCCCCCCCCCTTATAAAATAAACACCCACACCCAGACAGAACCGTATTTACCACATATCTGACAAAGCAAGTTTAAAATAGTAGAGATAAGAGCTTAGCAAAAGCCTCAGGTTCAGCCCTAACACTACCAAAATACTAAAAAGTTACATTTTCTAGTAATGAACACACCCCATACATACATTTTTCTTCCATATAAAGGTGCTTAAGATAAACACTGGTATTTAGTATATTTGAATTACCTTTATGTTTTAGAGTCCATGGCTCCATTCCTCTCAATATCCAGTAAAATATTCCAGTGTAAATCATCCCTCCATATACTCCCAGTATCCCGTGGCAGGATGGCCTTATATTCCTAACAGCATGTAGCTCTTTCCATACCCAAGATTTCTTCAAATTATCCTCATACTCAGTTACATGGAGTCCTTTTATGAAAAATAAGAAATATTAAGTGAAACACAGAGGGTGAGTTAATTTGTAGAAACATGGTTATGTGGATCCACACAGAATCACAAATGTTGGCGTCTTCCAACAAGATAATCTCTATATTTAATGGTAGGAAGCATTTGATCTGCCTTTCTTTGGATGGCACTGGGGCTTTGTGCATGGTTGGCGAGTATCCTACCGCTGGGCCATAAATATTAGACTTTAATGTTTACACTGGAAGCATAACAAATTAGCTTGAAAAGGGAAACGTAATACAAGTTCAGGCTATTTACAAACACATATTTTTTTTTTGTTTGTTTGTTTTTTCAAGACAGGGTTTCTCTGTGTAGCTTTGTGCCTTTCCTGGATCTCGCTCTGTAGACCAGGCTGGCCTCGAACCCACAAAGATCCGCCTGCCTCTGCCTCCTGAGTGCTGGGATTGAAGGTGTGTGCTACCACCCAGCTACAACTAACTGACTTGCACAAACTACAAAGTGGTTATACTCTTTAGCTAATGGTTTTCTTATAATTCTCAAGGGATTTTATTCCTTGTTATAATACTAAATTCCAGTATATAATACTATACAATATAATACTAAATTATCTGGTACTGTGTTTACAACAGCTAGAGTAGGGCTGCTGGTTCCACAAGGAACAGAACTTGACTAAAAATTAAGAGAAAGTTCTACCTAACTGTTGCATTCCATCTTGCCTGTCCTGCCCTGTCTAAAGTATTCTCTTGGCTTTTATTGGTTTTCTTACCACTTACCAAACCCATGTACTAGACCTTTATTCTTAGATACTTGAAACCATAACCAAGTTGCACTTACTGTTTTTTTTTTTTAGGGCTAGGAACCAATCAAACCCAGGGTCTTGTTCATGCTAGGCACTCCATGAGCCATGCCCTAAGTCCCTTCGTTGCTAATTCTTAGTAAAGGAACATTGGTTATCTGTGATTCTAAGGTCTAGGTTTATTTATGAAATATCTGCTGAGTTGCACCTATATGCCCAGTGTTTAGAACTGAAAATGAACAAAGTCTTTGCTGGAGTTTTTGGCAGGAGACAGTAGATAAAAATTTTCTTTTGGACAGTAGATAAATTAAGCCAAATATATAGTGTGTCAAATAAAAATGATGGCACATGATAATAAACAGTTCAAGGGGTAGGAAGGCTATGCATATTCCAACTGGTAAGATTTAGAGAGGCCACCTGAGAGTGCTATCTGAACAGAGACAAAACCCACAAGATAGAGCATGCATGGCATGTTCAGGAGCTGGAGACCAGTGGCCGGGATGCAGGGTTGTAGAAACAGTCAACAGTTGGGGGAGATAGCTCAGTAGTAGAGTCCTAGGTTCAATCCTCAGTACTGGCAAGAAAAACAGAACAGACAGCCAACAACAACCCCCAAACTGGTGACCATGGAGTTGCGGTTCCATTGGGAATACTTCTGTGATTACAGTGTTCCTTGGGGGGTTTCTTTTGAGAGCACTAAGATGGCTGAGCTAGGAAATGCACTTGCCAAGCAAGCATGAGGACCTGAGTTCAGTTCCTGGAACTATATAAATGTGTAAGAACTGACTTCCAAGGTCTTCTGATAGTGAGCCAGACAGGTGACGTGTGCAGTTAGGACAATATAGCACTCTTCCAGAGGACCTAAGTTTGATTCCCAGCATGCACATCAGGCGGCTCACAACTGCTTGTAACCCCCAGCTCCAGGGACATCTGACTCCTCTGACCTCTGCAGGAACTTGCACGTATGTGCATATACCTACACACACAAGTAAACAATGATAGTAAAAAAAAAATTTTTAAGTTCTCTGACCTCCATATGCGCACTGTAGCACGTACATGCCCCAGCCCTACATATTACATATAT